AGGTGACTGAGGACATCCACCTCTTTTGTGTTTGGTCGTTATGTTCCCGAAATCTCAGGAATTCTTGTAAGATATTTAGGCGGGGATCTTTGCAGGTGTATAAAGTGTGTATAGGGACACTGGCGAGGGTTCCCGTCTGTCTTAAATTGTACACGGTTTACAGCATCATTTTTAAAGGTTCCTGGGTTTTTTTTTTTATGTTACCTGAGTGACAAATTTCAACAGACTACTTGAGAGGCGCAGTGAGGTAAAGGTCCTTTGTAAAGGTTTCAAGGATTGGTATAGAAAGGGGGAATGCTACAAGACCAGCCCTATCGTGTTTCACACATAAGATCGGTTAGCTCTCTAAATAGAGCTCGGCTCTTGAACTTTGTAGTCGGCAGTACAAAGTGCACTACTTAATAATTAATGTGTGTGCGTGGTCACTGCCAAAAAAATGCGAATAATTGAAGAGGAGACGGTCTGTCTGTCAAGTCCCGTCCCTATTTCAGTGTGGCACAGTGAAGAAAACTACATTATTGACACTTCACAAATTCTGGTAGGCATTCAAGCGATCCATTGAACCGGCCAACGAGTCATCGATCTGCCATTAAATGACCCTCCCCTGTTCAATATGTTAAGCTTGACGGCCACAATACTAGACATAATACATTCACAGCGCGCTAGTCAGCGCTATCCGTCATAAAGTCAGTTTTTTGAGCAGCATATCAAAGCAAGCCAACAAAGAAGCAATATCCAGCTTGCATACTAGCCCCTAAGCACGGAACTCAATGAAGGTCTACGTTTTTGACATGTGACAAGCCAGTATCAAAACAAAGAATGCACGCCAAGTAAACAAGTAATACAGTAGGTACGCCAATCGCATGGAAAGCTTACATGAGGCAACAGTTCTTGTAATCACTGCCAGTCAACTGTCCATGGGAGCAGCTATCAAACAAACAGGCTACCAATCACAGAGAAACCGGACAGCCATGCTTCTGAAGAGCCATGCAGTCATCATCAGCCAGAAAATTATTTAAAAAAACAGAGAGAGTATTTGATGCCACTAAACTATCCAATCTACAATCCAAGCGGGTTCTGTTACAGCATTAAGCCTCCACCATGCAAACATTAAAAAATAGTTGAAACAATTATCGTATCTCAAGACTTATCAAGTTCCCTTCTGAATCCCTAGTGCTTTCATTTTCACTTACCAGAAGGCGTCAGCGATACAGTGTTTTTCATCGAAGCAATTCAACTGTAATTCTCTTAGAACAATAGAGTCGAAATGCAATGCGACATATTTGTATATATTGTATAATATTTTCTTCTGATTTAGTTGGAGATGTGGGCCCGTTGGGACTGTCGCATATTCGATTCCCCGTCGCACCGACCAGCGGATGATTACAGATGTAATTTCAGACACGAATCCCGTCGTACATCGAGCAGAAAATTGGAACAGTAATGACATCCCTCGTTGTCACCAAGGCCGGATCCGAAGAAATCTCAACGGAACTTAGTCGGATCGGTTCACAGCTACCAAACACCCAATTCCGTTACATTACACAGTACCATCTCCCCGGATAGGTAGTGAAAGCGTAGGCCCAGACTTATTCCCTCAAGGCAGTATACCCTCTATGTGATTTATTTATACTGAAAAATGAGAACTATAAGTCCGGATTACTGACTATTTAGGCCGACATATGGGTCGATTCGGAAAATATTATTGTTTGAACCCGAGCCTGCATGTCTACGACATTGATCGGACACTTGAACATTTCAAACTACTCAACACGGGTTGTTAAGGAAACTTCATGATCGCCTTTGATAGGTTTTGATGTGACGTGTTTCATGTCGGTAACCGTAACTTGCTATGAGTGCTTTTGCACAGTATTCTTGCTTTCCGTTCAAAGAAATACATTTTTTTCTTCAAAATGTGATTGAAACTGTCAAACCGATTACCCGCGATAAAACGCCCCGTCGCTTAGGCCTACAGCAGCACAAAATTTATATTACTCAAAACCGGCAGCACGACCACTGCAAATTGTTATAAAGCTACAAGATTCCAGGAATCGATACAGATTAAGCCAGAGAATATTGAAGACGATTGTATTTATTATGCTCGTGTTTCTGTTTTTTTAACCATCGAGACACTAACTTGGTGTTTGTTTTTAACAAGAGTTTTGCCGCTCTTCTGAAAAAGTGGTATGTCTGTTAAACGCTTTAGCTACATGTACTTACTAGTTTTTTTTAATCGTAAATATTTCAACATATTGCCTATTTTGCGCTTGCATAGCTAACAGTGTTTTTTTTTTTTGGGGGGGTGGGGTTGTTTGTTTGCAAGTCTTTTAATTTTAAAGTAAGTAATTTTGATCCACGAGTTTTTTAATGCTTAAATTAAATTTGGGCTGGGTAAACATATAGATGCATGCATAAAATTGGTATTCGATCTTGGGGAAAGAGGTGTGGGTATGACGTAAGAAAACGTCTTTGCTAGACAATCTTTGCCCCCAAAAGTTTTAAACATACATATGTTTGTATTTTTCTGTTCATGAGTCTTTAGAAGGGCGTTTGCGTAAAAGAAGAGATCTTAGCCCCTGAGGGAGACAGGCTCGCGCGAGTGAAATTTGACGTAATTACGGGCACTTGAAAACTCTACGTGCCCAAGATGAGGTTTTTTCTTGGCGGTGTTCTGGTGGCATCTGGTTTGAAGCACGCGCACACTTGTACATCTTGTTGAGTGTTCATGTTGCCCAGGGGTGCACTAAACATCTCGAGAGGAAGCCAAGCTTCAATTTTTTTTGCTCTATGTTCCTTGTGCCGTAATAATTTTCGCCCACCTCGTAATTGGCCCTCTCTTCCAGTGCGTTATCGGCAAATTGGAACAGACACGCTGTCCTGACCTTTTCTAACTTTCAACGGACGTTTCTTCGGGGGAAATTCACTTTCGGCTCTGGTACCGTTGGCAGAACCATTTTTACTTTGTATTTCCAGGGTCGTTTTACTGATTTAGATTTTGTATGAAGTACAGCGGGACCCGTTACGAAACGTGGACTAAGTAGAAAGGCAGTCGTTTTGGGTTTCTTTCTCGTGACGTGTTTTGAAGAAACAGTGTATAGCAAACACCATTGACTTTTATCAAGTTCTGCTATACGCTGCCTTCGAAAACAACAGAAGACCACAATGTAACCTGTGTGAACTCAATTTATGTACCAAAAGTTCCTTGGATGTTATTGAATTGGTTACGATAATACATGGGACAACCGGTCTGTTCAGATTGAACTAAGATACTTGATAATTTGAAATAAAAAAAAGTCCCCAATGATGAGAAAAAAAATACGTAAAGAAATCCAGGAATTGAAGTAGCAAAAAAGGAGATGGTTAAAGCCGAAACTTTCATTTAGGCACAGTAGTATATGTGTGTTGTGTGTTGCACTCGGTATGATCATTCTCGCAAATTGATATGAAGTGCAGTATAGTAATTCAGACATAGAAAGTCTCCACACGTTTCCCCTGCCTCAAATAATTGAAATTATCTCCATCATGTCACGCGTCGAATAGCCAAACAGGTTTTTTACAGGTTGGCCGCCAAGAAGAACCAAGTTATAAAGGTTGACAAAGAGGAGGGGAAACAGTGTGGACTAATTTCCGGGAGTACGTTTAATTGTGAGCTTGGTTTTGTAGTTCATATCACTCGTGGAATTCTGGCGAGTGACAACTTCGGATGGATAAACAACTAAGGAAGAAAGAAGTCCTAGACTCGGCCTTGTTATGTACCATAATCAACACCTCGGTGCTCGGAATTAAGATTAATTTAAGGGAGCTTGCTGTAAAAGACACCTTTCAATTCGCCATTCATTCATTCATTCACTTTGCAGACTGCACAGCTTTTTTTTATGCCAAGCTAAAGAAAAGTACACGCTGAAATAATATCAAAGGAATCATAAATGATACCGTACCGTCCGTATCCGGTCCCCCCCCCCCCCAATAACGTCATAGATAGAGTATATCCCCTTTCTTGATTACAAGATATTGCCCCCAATTTGATTAGGGCTCCAAATTTAATTGACCGGTGTCAGGACAGATGCTCTCATCATGTCGATTAAGTTATTTATTAGGTCAGGAAAGGGTCACGTAGACATGATCCAACAGTACACCGGTGCTGTAGGCGATACGTCCATCACAAGTCAGGTCACTAGTTCACCAGAAGACCTATAGGCCCAATCATGAGTAACAGGAATTAAACAAGAACAAAGCAAAGCCTTTGTCACAGTTCACTTGGTGACTAAGAATTGGACGGCTTGTGAAAGTTGTGATTCACTTGTGAGGACTTGTTATAGGACCCAAGTGCAACACTGTTTTACCATGGTTTTACTGGTGTAGTATTTTTGCGCATTATCGTGTGCGGACCTCGACCTTTTGGCATCTTTGGTGTGTCCTGGCCATAGCTCCATGTCCTGGCGAAGGGGGCTTCACTGTCAGGAAAGTGACGCCCGAGCTAGCTAGATCATATTAGTCTGAGTGAAGAGATCCAAAAGCTTGAAACTGTCTTTCGAGGCAACACGTACCCTCACGAATCTGCGATATATGTATTACACTATCCCGCTTATTAGGCGGTACTATTTCTGTGTTCTGTGAGGTGGTTGCTCACTTCGCTGGGACATGGCGATGGCCATCACCTTCGTCTTTGGTTTTCTGTTTTCCAGTTGCCTATTTACCCATCATCCTTGGCTTTTATGAACACGAGAATTTGTTGGAAGAGGAAGTCTTGCATGAACAAAGTAAACTTTTCAATTGGCATGGTATAAAAGTGCCTAAGTTAACACAAGTCACCCTGAAATTCAGTTTCGATAATAAACATGCAATCACACTTTAATAATATGTAAGATATATCAGAAACACACGTGATTGCTTAAGTTTGAGTAAAACATTATGACAGACCCTTTACAAGAAGATGTAACATTTCCAAAGTTTATAATTTTTTTTATATGACGCTGATTTTTTTTCACTCTGTGTAACAGGTGACAGTGCAGGCCACGTGTTGCACCCTGACAGCTATGTCCATCGACCGGTACCTACTCATTGTCCACGCCGTTAAATCCAGGAACACCAGAACCACCACCAGGGCCATCATTGTCAACGTTGCTGTTTGGATTGGTAAGTCCGTCCGTAGGCCTACTGTCCCTATCATCATATCCAATTGGGCGTTGGTCACCTCGTAGTTCATTGAGCTTTCATTGGATACAATTTGCATAGCAATTGACCTAGCATTCCATGTGCCCACAACCCATCACATAACGTACAGCTAGTGGCCTACCCAAAAAATGCTGTGCTACGCACTGCTCATTGGCGATAGTAAGCGCCGTACACAGATTTTGAAGCTACGCGCTGGTTCCCAATCTCTCAATTTGAATATGGTACGGGAACCAGCATAGCCACACCTCAACCCCGTCGACAGCTCCGGGCATTGGGGAAGGGGGGGGGGGGGCAGTACGAGCTAGGCGGCACACCACAAAAAAATTCAATGTACAGATAATTTGGATGCTTATGATTTTTTGCCGGGGGAGGGGCAATTGCTATAGGGGAGGGGAGATTGCTGTCCAAGGGTGGGATGGGTGGTCCCTCCGCCCCTTCCCCACCCCCTTAGCGACGGGCCTGCCACTCCAATCGTGCATTCAGTAAAAAGTATATGGTATATTGAGATTTGTTTTATCTCAACTGAATTAAAAATATTATACAAGTCAAAAAGTATATTTTACTGTGAACACATTTAATAAAAAAGGCAAAGATTGCGGTTAAATTAGGATACATTACTTTGTTTACAATTCCTTTGTGTTATGGGAGTGGTAATATGGTGGACGGTGACTTCAGTGACTTCACTTCTAACAGCCAATGGAGTATACAGATTTTTTAAAGTAGAGATCAGTGGTGCTACGCGTGCCTTTCGTTTTGATATCTAGGATTAGGGGTCACCAGCAGCCTTTGATGAGATGATGGGGACCTGGGAAGATGGGTAAGAAACCACTCCCTGTTTAAGGAAAAGAATCCCGTGAAAGACAACACTAGAACTATTTCTTAATCTTGCTCCCGTCAGATATTCAATAATACCTCGAATGGGTTAACATGAGTGATGCACCGTAAAATAGAGTCGGTGGAAAAAAAATGTCGTTGTACAAGACATTTCGCATAAAATAACACCAGTTGCCAGTTAATTAAAATAACATTATACCAACTTTCTGGAAGAAGTCGTCAAAAAGGTGCAGGTCGTTGTCGTTTTGGCTATTAAACGTTAGGTAAACACCTGTGCGAGGATTTTCAGCTATGTGCATTACCGGTATACCAACGGTCGGAATCTATGAGCGGTTTGAAGAATTAAACAAAAATATTCGAAAAGTTGGCGTTACAGATTCTAGATTTAAATGTCTTCATCTTCTTTTTTTTATTTCTCGATTTCACATTTGAAAAATGACAATTAAGGACAAACGCCCTTCAAGTGTAGCTTAAAAAAAAGGATCTCAAGAGGAACTACAACTGTGCAAAATGTATGTGTATTGTTAATGGAGTTTTTCTAGAAATTGTGTCCACAACCAAATTCCATTTGTTACAACTGGGCTAATTGGAGTTCTTTGTACACAACCAAAGGTCGGTTTAGTGATAAGCAGACCTTATTTGGTTTAGGCTGACAACCGTGACGGCTGGAAGGGGTAATTAATTGCAATGAAAATGCAACATGTGTGTAGCCTATGTTAACCTAAACAAGATAGGATCGCAGTTTGGTGTCAGAAAAAAAAATTACATGGAATAATGCATACCGATTATATATTCCTTGATGAATATACTGGACATATGGAGCATTAGCACTGGATTATCATCACAACCGAATACATTTAAAAATTGTTGACTGCTGTGATGTGGGATGCGGCGTTGTCAACACCAAAAAGTCGTATATATAATTGTGCGCGAAGCCGAGGGTGATATGCGCCCCGAGGGGGTTAAAAACGACATCACAACAGTCTACAATTGTTTTGCTATATCGAGCCAGTGAGTGAAAAATATAAAATTTTCAACTCGCTATTCAAGAAATAAACTCAATCAATGCAGTGTAACCTTTTGATTATTATGAGCTTTCCTGCCAGACTCGAGAAGGAGAGGTTGACGTTCTTTGTTGCGAGGCGTGCAGTCCCTCCCACACACGCTCGCACCCGCACCCTCAACGCGCTTGCAATAATTATATGCAAAGCGGTGTATTATGAAGCAAACAGTAATTGTTTTTATTAAAAAAATGCAGTATTCAAGACACGATATGACAATTCGACTTATCGTCATTGGACAGAGGATGCCAGGTGTAAAAAAAAAGTGTTTCTTTTTTTGCAATAAAACGATGGCGATTGATTTACAAAAACAACCCCGCTCGACCACTGATCAGCCATTTCTCGCTGTAATGGCTTTGCCGCAAAGGTTGTTTCGTAAGGTAGGAGAATGGACAACACACAAAAGGCCGTCTGACTGCGGGAATAATTACAAAGAAGCTAATAGAATAGGTCCATTCAGGTCAACTCTTGTTTTTGATACGGTAAGATCCATTAAATTTTGAGCCAGTTTTCCAGGGCAAGCAATCTCTCCCGTGAGCATTTCAATGAAACAGAGCTACTATATATAGTCCTATCTCTTATTTTGTGTGTGGAAAAGTACTAGATCACGGACGACAAAATTTGCCGATGAATATGGTTGACCGAGATATTTCGCCGATAATCTGGGCAAATTAAATTGGCTGTTTCAGCAATGAAGGCGACGCCGTGTTGGGTTGAGAATGACCACGATAATCGGCCAAGCACTAATGTATTATTTATAGAATGGATCTACTGAGGCTTCTAGGCCGTGGTGATAACCAGAAAATTGAGGAAAGAATGCTACTAAGAGGGACTCAGAATCAGTTAACCGTAGAGTTACTAAATTTTGCATTGAATTTATAAATATAGAATCTTCGGAGGGGTTGCGGTTTCAAGAGCGCCAGAATCCCATTCGGATAAAGTATCAATACATTTTGACCATCTAACACGAAAGTGCCGCCGCCTTGCTAAATATATCGAGGGCGCGGGTGTTTTCCAGACAAAGTGCAGTGTGCCGAGGATTGAATTGGCCGGTTCACACGGAATATCATTTTCGTCTATTTCCGAGGAACTTCTAAAGGATGTATTGTTCAGTCGGCTTTTTGGCCGCCCGTCTTTTTTTTTCTGGCTGAGAAGGGCCTTGCAAAATGGCCTCTTTCCTAGCACTCTTGTTGGTGCGGGTGGGATGTGCGATACATGTTATGTCATGATTTGATGGAAACCGTATTATGTTACTTTTTTGGGGGAGGGAGAAATACAAATTAAAAAACAGAAGAAGTAAGGTAGTTTCATTTTCAACGGCCAAATATTGTGATACACAAGTAATATGTACATATTTATGCTATACTTATGGGTTTTTTTAACTGTAAGCTGGATATTAACTAAGCAGCCATCCACGTTTATATGTTGAATATTTATGAACATTGGTCTCTTTTTGGAAACAAAATTCGAGTAATCTCCCCCTGTTTTCTGGCTTGCAAATTCTGAACTGTCTTTAATCGGGGCAGAGGGAATGCGGCACTCATTCCTTATAGTACTCGTCACGTCTATTTTGGTCAGCTAAGAGTATCAGTCACTTCGCAATAAACAGGTGTATGTATTTACCCCAAATGTTCCCGATGTGGACTTTCGAAGCCAAATATACTGTAGTCTGTGTCACCATGGTGAGGAACACTTTAACTTGGTGTTCAGTCGACTCTTATTAATACAAACTCAGCCAGACCACACCATTATTTTTTTTTATCAGAACTAGGTGTTAAGAGGAGTTCGGTCCAATTCATTGTGCACGTAAATGCACAGAATTGTTTTTCACTCAGTGGCGCACCCAGGATTTGGGTATTTTTTTTTGGGGGGGGCTTCAAATTTGTTTCAAAAAATGTTGCCCAAAATGTTTGGCCGCAGAAAAAAGTGGAGTTTTTATTCGGGGGTGGGGGGGGGGGGGGGGGGGGGACTATTTTGACGTTAGTGGCGCCACTTACACCCCTATTATACTACTCGAAAATAGGCCACATACATATCACCAGGGTAAAATCGTGGGACAAAAAAAAGAACCCCCCCAAAAAACCCACCCCCGGGTGCGCCACTGCTTACACTATAACCAGAATTTGTATTAACAGAGTGTTTATTAACGACAGTCGAATGCATATCGCACTTTCAACAACAGACGAAGATTGAATAAGGCTTATATAAGGATTGAATAAGACTTACATGAATGATTGAATAAGGCTTACATGAATGTTAGTACACAAGTAGTTCCTGTTATCAGTGGCGTAGCAAGGAATTTTTTGTTCAGTTGGGAGGGGGGGGGGCACTAGCCTGGTATGAGGGGGCACCATTGGCGGACCCAACAGCATTTATCCAAGATTCCCAGGCCACCACAAATGCTGCAAATTCGGAGGGGGATGAGGGGGGGGGGGGCTGGACCTCTTTTGACGCTAGAGGGCGATCTTTTTTCCTATCAATTACTTCACATTTCAGACAGACGTGCGGTTATTAGGGAAGTCAAAAATAACCATCTAGATACCTCTTCGTTTTAATAACTCAAACAAATACTTTAAAAAGAAACTACCTTGGCAATCCGCAAATGTCGAAATGTTTGGGGGGGGGGGGGAGGGGAACCTGGGGGCAGCGGTGTACATCCCGGGGGTATATATCCCCCCACTTTATCGTGATGAAAAAAAAAGCGTATTTCGAGGTATTTTTTCGAATATCCCAACAACCAAATGGAATTCAATAGCACTGAAAAGTGGAGAAACAAAGTGCAAAAGCCTTTGATGTACATGTAAGCGCGAGTATTGATATGCATCTATATCCTGAAGAGCCAGCCCCAGGCCCCCCCCCCCAATTTCCACGGGCAATTTGCGGATTGTGGTCATCCCTATCCCCCAACTAGCCGGCACAGATTTACCCCTGTGCCTGCATGGGGGAAGTGGGAATTTTATTTTTATGGGGGGGGGGGGCACGTTTCCCCAAGGCCCACCTTTGGCTACACCTCTGCCTGTGATCACATTAATGTCTAATTCATGATGAGTTATCTGTACCTTTTTC